TCCTTAAACAATTTCAGAAAACAATTTCTTTCAAAAATTCATTTCTCGGGCTTGGGACCTCGGAATTTGATTCCGGGTAGACGCCCAAGTCCCATATTTTCCTACGGACCCTCCGGGACCGTCAAATCACGGGTGTGGGTCCGTTTACCCAAAACGTTGACCAAGGTTAAATTTATTCATTTTAACATCAAAACTTAGTATTTTTCACAGAATTTCATATTTAAGCTTTCCTGCTACGCGCCCGGACTGCACACGCAAATCGAGGTAACTCTAAATGGGGCTTTCAAGGCCTCGGAGTCATAGAATTTAATTAAAAGCAGGTGATGACCCTTTGGGTTGTCACATTTTTGCAGAATTATATTGGTATATTCTCATAGCTTACATACAAGCAAGAATCACTATTGTTTCTTTAAATATTTTACATATGACATGAGGTTTTGAATACTTCATATAAGAAAACCATACATCAGAAAGGGCTACAGACTGAAAATCTAATGAATGTTTGCTGTTCTTTTTCAAAGTAATGTCAGTTTCAAGATACTTGCATAAAACCAATACATGAAAAGGAAATATTAATTTTCATTTAAATATTTACACAACTCAATCAATTCGACCACTCTTGCATGGGAATTTTTGGGCCCTCACACCCTGGGAAGGAGAAGGAACAGGAAATAAGGGAGTGGCTGGGGAGGAAAAGTAAAAGGATACCAAACAAAACAGGCTACCCCAGTTGAAACGCAAGCATAGTAGAGTGAATTAAGTTTGCGGAGAAGGCTTTACAGATATACTTTTTAGAGTGGCGTTTGACGGCATACAGGAAATCAATTTGAAAGAGATATCCAATTCTAGATATATTAACGTCATTTATTAAGATTTAGTTAGAGTATATGATTTCTAGAACATGAAATGATGAGTCGGAACAAGTAAAGAGTACACGAGATGTTGGTGAACACTTAAAACGTTTAGATAATTGCACTGGTTTTCTAGTCAGTTTAGTGATTTGGGCACTTCAAGGACTCTTGAGGTTTCAAATATCGTGTTGATCCTACATAATGTTGCACTGTACTTTCCTCAAAAAGATAGAATTTGGAACTTGAGCTCTAAGCTTGTTAAAAATCCCCCCCCCCCCCCCTTCCCCAGATGGTTGCCATGGATTTGGCCGAACATGTCTTGAGGAGCCAATAATTTTTAGAGGAGATATATATTTCTTGACGGCTGATGGTATCTCGTTTTCTTGGCTGACACTGGTCTTGAGGAGCCAGTAATTTTTAGCAGAGATCTGTATTTCTTTTTTTCTTATGATAGGAAATGCGGTTCTTCAACAAGATGATATATTGTCTTCCCAGTCTTTCACGAGAAGAGTGCAATGCAACGTTCCCTAGGAGTAGCAAGATATTTGAAACTTCAGAATCCTTGAAATACCAAATAACCGAAATAATAAAAAAAAAACTAGTGAAATTATCTTTTCTTGGAAATCATCTACTCTAACTAACTCTTAAAATAAAATATGACGTTGATATATCTAGAGCTGGATGTTGTCTTTCAAAATGATTTCCCTTACACCATCAAACAACACTCGATCAAGCATATATGTAAATCTTTCTCTACATCTAACTGCGGTAGCCTACTTTTAGGTCGTGATGGTTCTACCATTTTAGAACTTAGGTAGACCGTAAACAAAGTGTAATTGTCCTACGCGATAGGCTAACACTAATATTCTTAAATTTTGAAAGAGGAAATAGTTACGACTTGTCTAAACTCAACACACTATTTTAAGTTGGGGAGAACATTCAAGTCAAAACAAAAGCATAGTTTATTTTGTTGCATGTACGCATTAATAATACGTCATGAATCAGCAAAGATATCAATTTCAAAGCATTGCAGCTTCGTGCTTACCGGATGCCGAAAAGTGCATGTTAGATTAAGACAGCTTCCTGCCAGCCAGTACCAACAGTCCCTGGGGTTGAGCCTAGCTATCTCACTATGTCGATATTCACATTCTACTCCCTGGTTTTAAAAAAATCCATATCAACAAAATCCCGATTCTCAAATACAACACTTGAAATAATGAGCCAACAACGCACACGAAACAAATATATTCATGTCAAGAATGCACAAGTAACAAAAAACAACAATGACAAATGTTTATTGTATTGAGAACCACTACTCTGATTATTGTGATCCCATCATCTCTAAACCATAATTGATTCGACTTGAACTAAAAAGCAAAAATTATCTATCAAAAGAACAATTAAAGACAACACCTACTTAAACAAGAAAATGCGCCAATAGAGCAAACAAAATATAGACAGCTAACTGAATTCACGATCACCAACTCAATTTGCTAAAAAATGTTAACATCTCTTCAACCCATTAAATTTCCCTTGCATAAACTCACCACTTAAACACTTAAAATTCAAATGTAAAATAAAATCCAAGAAACCAACGCAATGTAATCATTACAAAAGATACATCCAACAGTGCATAAAGACCCATGCACGCAGAGAAAACACACACACACTTACATTTTATACATTACTGTTAGTTAGAAACAAAGTTTAAGATATTAATTTAGAGCTTAAATTAGGCTATGTAAAAGGTAATTGCAAGTAATTCAACATAATAACCTTTGATTGAAACCTAGCGTGAATGATAAATAACCTGCTATCAAGTAATATAGAATTTAAATTATTAAAAAAGCAAAATTCGAAGAAATGCAAATGAAAAAGGAAAAAAAACCTTCTTGCAAGTGAGCGGAGAGGCTAAGAAATAGACACAATCAGTGTTGCGCTTTAACAATTCTTCCTCCATGTTCTCTCCCACAAATCGATTGATTATACAAAATGTTCAAATTTCACAGCACTACGTACAACATATAACTTGATGAAATGTGAAATTCTCAACCCTGATTAAAAACAAACCCTCAACAGTGTTCTATATATACACATATACATACATGATACAACTGCATACGGAGAGGTGTAAGGGGTAGGGTCGGTTGGGGGGGAGGGGTTACAAAACTATATATGGTGCTTTCGAGTTTAATGAAGCTAACGCTTGGGTACTTTATTAATTTTAAGTTATTTTTTGGGTTATGGTCCTTGCATTTTAAGCATGTTTCACTACGATATTTTTTTTTTTTAGATTTTTCCATCCCCCAATTAGAATACGTAATGTTAATTAAAGAAAAAAAGCTCTCCCTACTTGGTGTGTAGTATAGTACTTCATCTAATTTCATTTTTGTCTATCTGTTTATTAAAAATATAATACATTTATATGATAGATAATTTTAACGTAAACTTTTTCATTATAGCCTTAATGAGAAAGCTTTTATTCTCGGGCGAATATTATGGTAAATCAAGTTTCAAAAAAGTTTACTTTCTTATTTGAAAATATGTATAAAGTTGAATTGATTATATAAAATTGGAATGGTTAAAGTACCATTCTAATGACGTGATATATTTTCATTGCACACATTTCTTTTCCTAATAAAAATGCTTGTACACTTGAGCCGAAAACCTACACATCCATTAGATTCCTATTGTAAAATGGAGTAAACATGCTCATTATCAGAAGCCAAAAATGTAGTCCATTACAGCCTATAATCTTTTTTTTTTGGTAATTAAGAATTTTTATTACCAAGTAACCATATTTACAACTCATCTAACTATTACAAAATTTGTCTAGCATATCACCAACTGGACATGAAGCCCCAGTATGGTGATATGTAGCAATCACTTCTTCTATAACTTCATCAACATCTGCTACTATGCTCTATTTTAACTAATTTCTGGATACCAGTTCAGAGTAGTATTCATCAACATCTGTTACATCCTATAATCTTTAAGTTCTATAATCAATAACGCTTACACTCCCGCTCCCGCAATCCAACCCTTGCCTTCTCTAGTACAGGTCACTCACAATGTTGAACAATGTAAAATCAACTTATGAGCATGCTTCCTGCTGCAATTTACAAACTACAATTTTTACTACAATCAACTTCCCATCATTCGATAATCAAAATTTCTTACATACCTAAAACTTCATCCATTCAACTTAAGACATGAACATCTTCAAGAACCAAACTAGACCAAAGAGGACAAAGAAAGGAGCGGAGGCAAAAAGAATTTAAGAAAGCCCCCGTCTTTTCATTTTTTATCAACTTCTCCACAATGGGTTGACCTCATACAAACAAGCTCCAAAATATGTTTTTTGAACCATATAAATGAATTTAAATGTCTAATGGGATAATAGTTATCACAATCATTAACAAGAACCTTGTTTGGCAAGAGGCACACAATGTAGGCAAAAACTAGACAACTTCATTAAAACACCAAAAACAAAATGATTTGCTAAAACTGGCACAGTCGCCTGCTACTTGACTATTTTCATTGATAAGTGTGTATTTATACGCAACAGTCAAAATGTAGCCTAGTTGTTCGATTACAAACCCTCCCAACCCATTATTTCCTCTATTTTTCCCCTTAGTTATCAAATGCCAGCAGCTTCATCATCTTGTGTTCCATTTTCTTCCTACTTATTCAGATATTTTTCTTCTTTACAATGGAAAAAATCCCCGAGGATCAATAGCACACGGTTTGAAACTCAATAGGTAACACGCCGGCCCTCCTTGTTAAGAGTTGACAACCATCTATTTGCTGTTTGCTCCCTTCTGAACAACCATATTTAAGCATATTAAATCTGTACATCAGTCTCATTTCCTTATCCAGCAACATAAAGGCATCTTTACAAGATTCTCCGACAAAGCAACAATTTAATACTTGCCATTATACTAGTGCCAACTCAAAAACTGTACCTGACTAAGAAATATAATGGTTTTAGCTCATATCAGTACACTCAGCGCAAGCAGGGGACAAAAAGTATCATGTATGATTTTAACTCCAAAAACATCCATGCTTTTGGAAAGATGGATATTATTCCTAGTTCCTACTATCAATGTAAGAAATTCATCATCAGACTATCCTGCAACTTTTACTAGCTATTCTACATTATCCATTTATTACCATCAGAAAGCAAAAGGGGAAAGCAAAGGATGATACATGATCACATAGTTTCTAGAGACACAACAGCATATTTAACAATGATATGTCCTTGGATTTCAAATTTCAACCCCAGCAATCTAGAGCAACAAACAGATATTAGCCCTGTAATTATCACATATCAATAGATCACTATTGGAACAAACATTAGCTCTTCGAGTTGAATGTATAAAATATAACTAGTCGGGTCCTAAGCTTTGTCATCTCCATCAACTTCAGAACTAACTTTTTGATCAGCAACTTTGACACTTTTCGGTGCCATGACACGTCCAGTCATAGGATGAACTGGACGAGTGTCCCGCGGACCGCCTTTTTGTCCCATAGCTAGCATAGGTGGAGGAGGTAATACACCTGCTCGGAAAAGAAGACGCTCAACCGGTTCTGACGGCTGTGCACCAACGGATAACCAATATCTGCAGAACCGCAAAGATTAGGCAAACAATACATGATTGTGTCATCTTAATAGCTATCTGATGATCAGAGAGTATAAGAATCAACAAGGTCTTGCAGCAACTAAAAGCAAAGTCAGAGTATAACCATTTCCTTTGAGCCCTATTTTCCTTTTGGACCTTTGCAAGAGTAGCAAAATTAAGAAAGTTCATGAGACAGCAGCACAGTGCTACTGTAATTTCTAAAAATTGGAAGAAACAGGTCCTACAAATATCAGCTATAACTTTACTCCTGCTCGACCCAGCCAAAATGAAGTCTTCGACCAAAATAAAAGGTTTAAAAAGAGAAAGATAAACTAACAAGCGTCATTTCTTAATCTGCCTTTATGTGTTGCTGATAATTAGCCTTTCAAAATCGCAGCCACACGCTCCTAATTCCCCAGACAAAGTGTACAAACACATATCAACTTATTGCTTACATCCAGCACACTCAACAAATGAACCATTCTATCATGTTTATGGTCCGGTCCATGTCCCCCGTAACAGAATAAACAAGAGAGGATCTTTGATTATACAAAACACTTCACTCACATATGTTTCTCTTCATCAGCAGCAGGGCAAGTTCTACATGATTATTGTCAGTTAAAGTACACAGTGCAGCAAACCATTTATTTTCCCGTCGTTATTGGAAAACATCATTCCTAAAACTTAAAATAACACAAATCCTCTCTGTTGGTAGCAAAAAATCTCACAAACTTCTAAGACAGCAAACTGTTAACGAATACCCAGATGAGTTAGCATATCGTTCTATCCACTAGTTACGCTCTCAACAAAAGGTAGACATTAAATATCTCAGAAGAAAATTATAACCCAAGTACTCACAATTTTAAGTTTCTTTTATAAGTAAATAACTTCTTAGTGAAACGTCTAAGGAGATGCATCAAATATACAACCAAGTATATAAACCACCGCCCACCGGGAAAAAAGTGGCCATTTTATCAGCATTAGTCACATTAGAAATTCCCTAACCACTTAAAATTGCTCCATTCAATCAGACATCCCCTCTTATACACACACGTCATTGTTAGCAGCTCATGAGAAATTTTTGTACATGTTTTGCTACTGATCCAGGGATTTGATTTCTGCCTCATGCATCTTACAACAATCTTTTTTGGCCAGCGTATTCAGCCATTTCATATGCGACAATATTCATTTTGAAGGATTACCGACCAGATGAACAGAAATTTAAAGTTACAAGTTAGCAAAATTTATTTACCACACCCTTAGGCAAGTTGTCTTTTAAATTTATGTAGTTAGGGATAGTTTGTCCCTATAGACTCTCATGTCAAACTTTTGGACTTTGTCAGCTTTTTATCCTTAGCATAGGCCTCATTGCAACAGAGCTAACAAACTCTCACTTTTGCTATCATGCATCTACTTGATGCTATTTATAATACCACTTACTTCATCAAAACAAGTTAGCAAAATCTGTTTTACGTTACTACAATGTTATTCTTGATCCTACAGCTATAAACTAGTCCTAACCATTCGCATTCGTAGCCATTAAATTTTTCAATGATCCTGTAGATCAAACAAGCTTTACCTAGCTAGAAAAGCTATACCAATATCAAGCTTCCACATTTTGCATAAGCAGCCGAATTATCACCTTTAAGTAGTCTTACAATGTTCTTTGTCAGACAACAAAAGGTAAAAACACGATACATGAACTGAATATTTATCAATATATGATTGTCTAGTATCTACTATACCCATTAATTTTATCCATCTTATCTGAACTCTAATAAGAGACCAGAAAATGAAACTAAAACATCTCTAAATTATAAATATCATCATGTTGGGAATCATAACAAAAACAACAACTTCTGGAAATGTACTTACTTCACCCTGTCAAAATTAAGACCCATCCGTTTGCCACCATCTTGACCTATACAAATGAAAATTGTACAAGATATTCATCAACGACTCAAAAAAGTCCTATTGAAGAATAAGGTAGGTTGCTGCTTGACCTTGTCTAATTAAGCTCATATGTATCCCTCTTGAGGTTTACCTGGAAGAGGATTGTAGTAACCGAGGACTTCCAAGTGTTTGCCATCTCGGGGAGATCTACTATCCGCCGCCATTACTCTATAAAAAGGTTTGTTTTTGCATCCAAACCTCGACAACCGCAATCTTACCACCATTTTTCTCTTCTTCGCTCCAATCTTACTACAAAGATTTGAGTAATTTAATTCGAAGTTCTAGAATATTTCCTATGTTAAAAAGTAAATATTCTTTATTTTTTTAAAACCTTTTTTACACGGACTTTATACTTTTTTCTACAAAGTTCAAAATTATCTAAGTCAAAATATTATTACGTATTTTACAACACTTTTTGGGGCCTCAAAATTTTTGGGGCCTAAAGCGAAGGCTTTACTAGCCCCACCCTTGAGCCACCCGCGAAGATAAGTTGTATATTTCTAAGCATATAATCTGTTTGAAGATTGCAAAGATGTAGTAAATGGTATGATCTTAAACACAAAATAGGAAAACATTGAGGAAGTAAAGAAGCTATTCTTGAATAAACAAAAGAAAGCATGGTTCAATTATAGAACGTGTAACATATGACGAATAATTCAAGAGCAATAGCACTTAAATATTCAGAAAGCACTGAAATATAAATCTTACTTATGTATACATTATCCGAATTCTAGCCAAATATGAAACTATAGCCGCTCTAATTTCAACAACACAGAAATTCATTATCCGAATTCTAGCCATAGCAAAGTTTCTTAATTTTGGACGAGCTTTATAAACACCAATTAGGGTTTATATTTCAACTAGAGAAATTGAATTTCAGTCACTAATATGCAATTCTCGAAGAAAACATAAGAACGTTCAAAAGGGACAATATGAATCTGAGAAAAAAACATTGCTAACAATTTAGAACACGTCCCAATTAAGATTTACGATTTAGAGTATTGGGATGTCAACAAAATCAAGAAAAATTACAGAAATTCAGAGATTCAATCAAAATAGAATATCCAAAAATGAGAACAAGACACAAATAAGAGGCAAGCAAAACCTTCTAGTTTAGCCCCTTCTCAATCGTATTTTAAAAGGGGTTTTTTTAAACCCTAAACTCGAAACTGAAATTTACCATTAGAAAAGTGGAAACAAGATGGATAATTCCGAGTATAATTTTCAAAATCTTACCCAGAAAAAGATTCGGCGGCTGCTTGATCATTGAAGAGAGAGACGTGTGAAGGATGAAATTTGTATTGGGTTTACAAGAAATAGCCTGATGTCAAGAGAGAGAAAAGGAGAGGCGTGTATTTCGGAATTAAAGGTCTGACCGAATCAGACCCAACCAGACCTATAAAGACTTTTTAAAAATAATAAAAAAACACATACACTTAATGGGCTAAGATCTGGTTCTTCAGATCCAGACCCTCGTTAACTGCAAACAAATGAGGCCTAATATCTTCGATATTTGAAAGCCCACAAGACTCATGAAAGTAGCAAGCCCAGTCAAAACGTTGATACTGGAATTGAAAGCTCAATTCTGCATCTAAAAAAATGATAATTTTGCCTTGTTGTATCAAGCAACATATATAAAAACTAAAAAAGTCTACTGTTTCAAGCTATATATAATGACTCTATTGAAGTGGTGTATGCAGAGCAACATTATCATAGCTTTATCAAATAAACCTCTAAGTCAAAGGCAATGGCCATGAATTCTGAGAAAACTCTTCTGGCTACTATTATCATCTTTATGCTAGTTTTATCTCCAGCTGTTCCCAGCAATGCCGCCGGACTGACTCGTCGAGGTATATTAGTACTACTCCCTCCGTCTTATTTTATGTTGCACACTTTCTATTTTTGTTTATCCCAAAAAGAATGAAATCTTCTTCTGTATTTAGAAATAGTTTAATTTTAAAAATTTTATTTTATTCTGGTAAAATAATTTATAGTTATACAAACGTTTATGACTTGTTATAGACCATAAATTTCAAAAGTAATTTTTTCTTTCTTCAATTTTATGCTCAATTAAACAATATCACATAAATTGGAACGAATGAAGTATTGGACAACGTTAATTTACAACCATAAACAACTGACGATATGATCATAATTGGTGCAGAACTTGGTTTTAAGGAACCACCATGTAACAATTGCCACTGTTGCCAACCAAATACACCGTCCTGTTGTGTTTGCGCCTGTGCCGTTCCGTTTGCCGCCGCCGTCGACCGACCATGATATATGGACTTAAAGCAAGATGCCGAGAAGAGACTACGTGTGTGATGATTTCTACATAAGAATGAAATAAGAAAATAATTTGCTCGTGCAATTAATGCTTTTGGCAATATGTTTTGGGTGATTTGAATTTTTATCTGTGAGAATAATATTTCTCCTATTTTGTTTTGGGTTTCGTTTTTCACTTTCATGCAAAAGTGCTTGTCCTATTTGAAATTTCTCATTGATTAAATGCATTGAATTTGCAATTAAAAGATTTCTATTGTGAAATGGATGGACTGGACTTGTTCAAATTCTTCCAAAAAAAAAAAAAGAAGTCCAAATTTACCTATCTTTTGACTATGGTTTAAAATTATCCTTCAATTGGCCACGAACGTCCCAAAAATCAATACTCAATGTATGCTTGTTTTATCAAGTCAACTAAAAAATTTAGAATAGGTGCAAATACAGTACTATATTTTATGGTGCATTAACAATCATGTTATATAAAGAAGACATGCTTGTGATTTAATTTTCAAAATAAATTGAATGTCTAATTAACTTCCAGATAACTTTAGAACTTTGCCAAACCTCAAGGCTCAAGCTTGGATGAGATTCTAATTGTTACTCGAATACTACTATTCTCAACATAGGAGATACGGGCCTTTTGAGTTTAGGTTCGAGATTTTACCACAACTTATTTATTTAACCGTATCAAAATTAATTATTTTACTTATTTTGTAAATAAATTAATATATTTATAGGATTAGAGTCAAAGTTATTGAGTTCGAAAGAAAATCACTTGCCCTCTATGTCCGGCCCCAATTCTCATGTCCTTTTACATCTCAAACATTGAGTTTAGATTTATGATAATTGAACAATCTATATTTATGAGGAGAAAAGAGAAACAAATAAGTGATGTACTTGTTTGAATAAATGAAAGTAATGTGATTGAAAGTTTTGCAACTATTCCCTACCCCCACCCCCACCCCCACCCCCTCCCCCACCCCCAAAAAAATTGAAAAAAGAATTATATGGATGAAATGGTCTCTCACTTTTTGATATTATAAAGATAATCAATTAATTAAACAAGATTGCTTTTAAAATAAAAAAAGTCAACTTCTTGCGTGGAAATTTTTTAGCAGTATAAAATGCTATAAATCAGAATATTGTTAAAAGAGTTGAAAATCCGCCCAAACAAACTAGGTGTATTCGGTATATTTGAGAAGTTTTCTTGCTAAAAAGCCTAATCTGTCTAAATCAAGTAAAAAACTGAGAAAAGAATCAGACGTGTATGACAAAATATTTTATTTATAAACAGTTGCTAAGCAATACTATAATCTATTTAATTGTTTTCAAAAGATGAGTAAGAGAGTTTGAATTCAACTGAATATAACTTTAATAATATTGCTTAGCAGTCTATTTAATGTACTTTATGTTTCGCAAGACCAAGAGATAGCAGAAATAACTGGTAAGTTTGACAACACTACAAAAGTCTAAAAACAACGCATTTTTTTTTACTTTGCATTCAAATTGCTGACTTTTCAATCATTTCATTTTTTTAAAGATAAGCTTACATAGTCTCCAATTGCATTACTTATAGCAAATCAAATTAAGTTGAACAGATTCTCCAATATCGTTAACTTGTAATTAGTCAACGGTGGCGGAGCCAGAATTTCACCGAGAGGTGTCAAAATATAAAAATATAGATATACCGAAAAAGTTTAGGGGAGTAAACGAATATTAAATATAAATAAAACAAAAAAATTTATCTAACAATACAATGTAATGTTTCGGCAAAAGGATATCGTTTGACACCCCTTGGTTGAATGTGGCTCGCCACCGAATAGTCAAGTCAACCTTGAGCTTGGTTAGTGAGAACACACAGTTGGTCAATTTTCCTTTTGCTAGTTTTGCAGTATAAAATAACCCTACTACTGCTACTTATTTCATTAATTCATCTAATTAAAGGCTAATTTCTAGCTATTCTTCTCATTACACCATGGCAACCATAACTCCTAGATCTATTATAGTCATGATGTTTGTTTTCATTGGTTTAGTTTTATCTCCTGGAATCCAAGAAGGCGTTGCTGCTCGTTCCATTGTGTACAGAGGTAATTAATCATACATATACATCAATAAATATTGTACTAGATCTGTTTCTTTTGTTTAATTTTTCGGATTCAAATATGGAGAAGTACTTGTGACGAGACCTATATGTCCTGCTTGTGTGTGTTGTCAACCTCCACCACCAGGATCTTGTTGCAGATGTTGCCCTTCTCCTATCAATTCTCAGTCAAACAATGGCACGCCTTAATGGACATGTTTTCCTGCAGACAGAGGCGGATCTAAGATTTAAACTTGATGAGCTTAATCTTCGATGTTTTTAGAGTAAACTCATTAGAATTTTGATATTATTAGTTTATACGTGAGGCGAAAAAAAGTGTTACACATACACTTCACTGCACGAGCTTTGGATCATTGGATGCATCAATACTGATCCAGGATAAACATAATGTAATAAATTTTCGTATGTTTTTGTCCCAAATTTGGAATGACCTGGTGTTTGTCCATTTTGTATCTTCTTGGTCATAATCAACAAGTTAGCTTGCTGTTATCAAATACCCTGAAGTATCGTTAAGAATTTCGTGTAATACTAAACCAATAGGATCCAACTCCTCGCCATTTCTCTTTTCTCCATTTTTCCCAAGTTCTTGTTTAGATTAGGGACACATGGCATAAGTTAGAATTAATGGCTAAAATTAATTGATTAAAGCAAAATCCTAACCATGGTTTAAATAATTATTAACTTGTTCATAAATATATTAAAAAATTCTCTCTCTTGTAGAAATTGTTCAGTATATTTTTTTGTTGGAATCAAATTTAAAACTTTTTTCACTTGAAGTGGGGCTTCATTGTTAAAGAATTGTAATTGCTTTAACAATTTTTTCATATTCCATACACAATTCAGTGTGTATGGAATTACATGATGCCCTTTTTGTTTTTGGTTTTGTGGAGTCCAAGTAAAAAATAGACATCAAATTGCTTCATCTAGAATTTCATTACTACTTAAAGAGTTGTTCAGTGTAATTTTATTTTGGTTGGAATCAAAGTTAAAAATCTCTTTTGAGACGATGTAATTGTTTAACCAAAAAATAGAATTTTCACTAAAGCTATATTTTAGAAGAACACGGGTTACTGATAATCGCAATAAATAAAAGAGAATAATTTGAATAGCCAGAATATAATTGAATAAAGCAAGTAAACCAAAGTATATTCAGATGATTTTTCGTGTCCTTACAATTGTTCAGTCTTCTCCTTTTATAGCTATCTTAGATGTAAGTGCCTTGCTTTGGTCATAATAAGGTTATTATGGGCAATAAATGACATTGAATGCTACGTTACATAATCATTACATTTAAGACAGATTCTCTAGCGTTTTCAGCATTTAATGCTTATCAAATATTGTATTGGACCCTCGTATGCTGTCAGATTCATTCCTTCTGATTCTCGGATATAAATGACTTAAATAGGTATGGGCGCCGTGTTACTTGTCTGATGTCCTGTGCCTCTTCCTCTTTCCTTGCTCGTATCTGTTGTAACTCCTGACTCATGGTTAATTGCGATTCTTTGACCATTTGACTAATCCACGTGTCTTGACACGTCACCTTTATATATAAATATAATTTTTCCCAATACAGATAGTCCCCCCACTTTCCATTTATTCATCAGTTGAATATTTGGGAAGTGGATTCCATTAAAAGAGAATTTTTCTCACCATTAATGCTCTGATAGAATTGACGCTTCAATTGTCACTTCCATTTAATGCGTTTTTACACGTGTCATCCTCTTATTACCTTTACAGTTTTGCAGCACTTTCTTAGGCTTTCTTTTCGGCTTCCCTGTTCACGAAGTGTTAGTTATCATTATTATGGTCCTTCCATCATTGTACTTTTTCTTTTTGTCGGTTGTCCATCAATATAAATATAACTTATTTTCTTGTCTTTTACCACATAAAGCGTATTGAACACTTCAATTCTTCAAATCTCTATTCACTTCTTTTTTACTTCAATCTTCTTCGCCATGACTTCATCAAATCCTAACCCTAGAAGAACTCCTATTTTAGATAACTTCCCCAATGCTCCCATTAAGCATAGAAGAGGTGGTAGACTTCGTAGCTTAGGGTCTGCTCGCGGTGGTAGCACATCCACGCCTTCTTCTAGTTCTGGTCCCTCTTCTAGAACTAGAGGTTCCCTTTCTCAAAGGTCTTCTTCTAGGAACAAAGAACCCTCTGAGCCTTTAGTTGAAGAGATAGTCCCAACAGAGCTATCTTTTCATCATGATAGGGAATCTCTTAGGAACCAAATTGCCACTTTAGATCGTGCCGATGCTTTCCCTACTCAAATTACAGAAATTCTAGCTCCTATAGTTCGCAAGGACTGTTACTGGAGTGATGATGTTCCCATTATCATTCCTAATACAAATCAGAGGATCACTTCATACATGATTGGATTCTCTTTTGTTTGTACATACCCTTTTACTCTAGGGTTCAAACCAGCCATTGACCCGGTCATTCTAGATTTTTACCGTTTTTTCAACGTTTGTTTGGGTCAAATCGGTCCAATTGTATGGAGGGATGTCGCCTGTTTGTGCACAATTTAACTCAAGCACAAGAAGAGCTTCGAGTCTCTGCTGATAAAGTTCGTGCTTTAGAGAGCTCTCATGTTTCTCTTCAAGCTTCTTGTAACTCCGCCTTGGCCGAAAATGAAGAGCTCAAGAATGAGGTGGCTGCTTGGGAAAAGGATTATGATATCCTTGAAGAAAAATTTGATGTTGAGGTAATTTGGGCTTTTTTGAATTCACGTCGTGATACCCTAACTGAAGCTGGTCAAGAAAACTTCGACCTGGAGTCAGAATTAGCTAAGGTTAATGAAACCATTGAACAAGCTCAGCAAACACAGGACTTTCCTTCTCCCGTGATTGAAGCTCCCATGGTTGAAGCTCATACGGGTATTGATCTTCTTCGAGCCCAATCAAACCTACTGCCACAAGCCAGGTTGAAACCACATCTGCTGATGCTCTTGCTCAAGTTGAGCCTGTTGCTGTGAATCAAGATCAACCTGCAACCGTTGATGCTCCTGTTCAAGTTGAGCTCGTTGCTGTTGATGCATCTTCTTCAGTTCCCACATCTTCTTAGTGAAAAATTTACATTGTCTTGAATTCATTCTTTTTTGCAGGCACCACTTTGGAAAGTTGTGTTAGAAACCCTTGGCTTCATTTGGGTTTATTTTGGAACGCAAGTCCCCAAGTCTTTTATGGGGAAGTTTGTATAAATAATTTCATAGTTTTATGACTAAGTTTGTACTTAGTCTTAAGTATTTAAGAAGTTTTCTGTGTTATTATCTTAAACTTCTATTTATTTTATTCTTGTCTTTATTTCTAAGGACTTATAGAATAATCTGCATTTTTGTTCTTTAGAAAATGCTTTTGTTAACTTCATGAATAGCTAAAGTAAACATGAGTTTTATAAAAGAGGGCCCTTTTATATTTCGACACTTAATGAAGAAGACGTCTCAACTTCATAATGGTGTTAACATACGATAAAGAAAAGGAACACACATGTTTCTTTTGCAATAACATTGACAAATTTTTATTTGAACTTTGTCTAGTTTTGAAGAACTCTTTACATGTATTTGAATTACATCTATAACTTTCTCGTAACTGTTTTTCTTGTAACAGATTTATAATTAGATTACAAACACGAGGTTTTTCTTCATAACCCGTTTCAGAATAATAAAAACACGAGGTTTTTCTTTATAACTCGTTTTAGTACATGGCTTTTAGCCTCACTACAGTAGAGATTTCTTTGGCCTTGGCTCGTGACTTCGTAACTTTTACTCTGCACTTGACTTTTTCAGGCTTGATTTCTCCTCAATCTTCTTTGCCTTTTTTATAACACATACTCGTGTGTATTATGTAGTCCCCCAAGTGTTTGAGCGTTGAAGTATGAAGCCTCGAGCACTTGATTGTTTCTCTCTTTTGGTCCTTTTCCTGAAAAGGAAAAACATACGGGACTCGGAGGTGCGATTTTAGATGAAGATTGCCTAACCCTTTTATATTTCTATCAGAATAATTGTAACACTAGGCCAGGAATTTTAGTTTATTCCGGGTGCTTTACAGGTCGTGACTCATCATTTAGTTCGGGTTAGTTTATTGCCTAGCATCTAAAATCGTTAGTAAAATTTTAACAATTCAAAAAATAAATGAAAAATGGTGATACCTGACCGTGGGTATTCCTTAGAAATAATATCTCTTCAAATGAACAACATTCCAATGTGAAGGTAGTATTTTGCCATCCATTGTCTCCAATTCATATGCTCCCTTTCCTGCAATATCACGAACTCTATAAGGTCCTTCCCAAGTTGGACTTAGTTTACCCGCGTTGGCTGCATTTGTAGACTGGAAAACCTTTTTAAGTACGAAGTCCCCAACTTTAAAGAATCTGAGGCGTGCTTTCCTGTTGTAATATCGTTCTACGACTTGTTCTTGCGCTGCCATTCTTATTAATGCAGCTTCTCTCCTTCCTTCAAGTAAATCTAGATTGACCCGCATCTCCTCATCATTAGATTCTTGTGTCGCTTGTGTGAACCATGTGCTTGGTTCTCCTATCTCAACTGGAATTAAAGCCTCAGCTCCGTAAACCAATGAAAATGGTGTTTCCCCTGTGCTCGTTTTCGTTGTTGTGCGATACGCCCATAAAACACCAGGTAGCACCTCTGGCCAATTTCCTTTTCATTCTTCCAAACGCTTCTTTAAATTATTGATAATAACCTTGTTTGTTGACTCTGCTTGCCCATTGCCTACCGGATGATAAGGTGTGGACGTAATCCTTTTAATTTGCCAACTTTGAAAAAATTCTGTGATTTGAGCTCCTATAAACTGAGGACCATTATCACATACGATCTCCTTTGGTATGCCAAATCGGCATATGATGTTTCGCCAAATAAAATCTTTGACTTCCTTTTCTCGTACATGTTTGAAGGCTCCTGCCTCTACCCATTTAGTAAAATAATCAGTAAGTACGAGCAGAAATTTTACCTGTCCTTTTGCTTGTGGTAATGGACCCACGATATCCATTCCCCATTTCATGAATGGCCATGGTGAGATGACCGGATGTAATAATTCCGAGGTTCTATGCATGTTGTTACCGTACCTTTGACATTTATCACATTTGGCCACGAAACTTTCCTCTTCTTCTTCTATTTTTGGCCAGTAGTAACCTGCCCTAATTAAGGTTCTTACCAATGATCTTCCTCCGGCGTGATTTCCACAATGCCCCTCGTGTATTTCCCTCATTACGTACTCTGTTTGAGAAGGTCCAAGGCATCTAGCTAAGGGGCCACCGAACATTTTACGATATAGGTTGCCTTTATTTAAACAGTAGCGAGCAGCCTTTTTTCGAAGTGCATGGGCTTTTTTCTTGTCATCAGGGACGGTTCCATACTGCAAAAAAGCAACAATCTCGTTCCTCCAATCCCAAGTTAAATTATTAAAATTTACCTCATTCTTGTCAGGGTCGAGAACTGAATGAAATAAATGAATAACTGAGGTGTTTGCATCACTTGCTACATCAGCTACAGA